CCTGCCTGATCACCCCTAACCACTCTGCCAGCCTGCCTGATTGCCCCTAACCACTCGCCTGCCTGTTTGATCACCCCTAACAACTCTGCCAGCCTGCCTGATCACCCCTAACCACTCGCCTGCCTGCCTGATCACTCCTAATCGCTCGCCTGCCTGCCTGATTTCACCTAACTGCTCACCTGCGTACCTCATCGCCCCTAACCACTCTGCCAGCCTGCCTGATTGCCCCTAACCGCTCGCCTGCCTGCCTGATCGCCCCTAACCACCTCTGCCTCAGCCCCCGCTGCCACGTCTTCGTCCGGAAGGATGTCCGGAATGACATCCGGAAGGTCATTCTGCTGTCCGGTCTAATTAGCATATTACGCTTTTATTATAGGTGATGTACAAACATCCCTAAAGGATTTTATGCCTTCAATACATAAATCCAATTATAATAATCGTACTAATTGAGTACATACTCTGGGTCAAGTCCTGCAATGGCAATTATTATGGATTATTTCTTTTGATCCTCATAATAACCCAGAGGTATCCTATATAATAAAAGGGTAATATGCAAATTAACCCTAACAGCAGGACGACTGGGAATGACCGGTCACTATGACACACACTGACCACCCGGGGGAAGATGCTTAATGCAGGAGCTGCCCCCTGGTGGTTGTGCTCCCACCACAGGGGGAGCTCTGCTCGGCCACAAGCCAGGCTGACTGCTGCCAGCACAGCGGTGGTGGTGTGAGCCTCTCCCACCTCCTCAGCAGTGCTAAGGATGTCCAACTGCAGCTTAGGCCTGATCCCCCGGGGGAGCTGGCCTAAGCCATCAGGTGGACATCCCCCGAGGGGTCCCAGACTGCGAGAGGGCACAGGCCGGGCTGAGGGACCCCCCCCCCACAGTGCACAAATTTTTGTGCACTGGGCCTCTAGTAGATAATATTATCCTCAGTTTACACATGCAAAAATAGAGGCTCTAAGAATTAAAGAACTAGGCTAGAGTCAGTCAGTAGTTACTGTTGTCTAAGATATAATTCATACCTGGGCCTACCAGCTAAACTGCAGTGAACTGCATGCCTCTAAGCTGGAGTTTGAAGCCTGTTGGAGTTCCTGGCATATGCAGATGCCCTCATTCATGTTCATGTCATACTCACTTTTGTCAGCCTTGACCTTTCTTGTCTCTTAGTCTTTTTTAAAAATATATTTTATTGATTTCAGAGAGGAAGGGAGAGGGAGAGAAAGATAGAAATATCAATGATGAGAGAGAATCATTGATCGGCCTGCACGCCCTTTATTGGGGATCCAGCCCGCAACCCGGGCTTGTGCCCTGACTAAAATCAAACTGTGACCTCCTGATTCATAGGTCAATGCTCAATCACTAAGCCATGCCAGCTAGACCAGATTGTTTAATCTTCAGACCAAGTCAGAGAATCATAACTCATTTCACAGGGGTCGCCTAAGACCATCCTGCATATCAGATATTTACATTACGGTTATAACAGTAGCAAAATTACAGTTATGAAGTAGCAACGAAAATAATTTTATGGTTGGGTCACAACATGAGGAACTGTATTTAAAGGGCCAGAAGGTTGAGAACCACTGCGCTAAGCCAGACTGGCTAGAACTATCAGTGTTTATGTCCATACTTCACTCTCAGTTACTCATCATGTGTACTGCACAGTTACAGTCTGCTGTGTCATGGTTTTCCTCTGGTTATTCTGTGTTTATAATATAGATAGATAAGATAGAGAAAAATCTTTAATTGAGGGGCCTGCGCTTAGTGAAAACAAGGTTGATTTTGAAAATTGGTGGAAGTTATAGAGGGTTATTTTGGTCTTTATGTGAGAAGAAATTTCTAAGCAGCTAAAACTGTTCCTCAATGTAATCAGCTGCCTGGTGAAGAACTTTCTAGAACTGAATGTTCTGAAAGCAGCAGTGGAGTTCCCTCCTCTAAGGATGTTATAAAATGCATTTCCACACCAGTGAGTGGCAGGACCCTAAGGCCCCTTCCACCCTGGGGAAGGGCTTGTTCCCTGCCACAGCTGACAGATATTAGCCATAGAGCAGTGTGACTCGTTCTTATATGCTCTGGCTTCAGGTTTTGTTTTCATTTTCAAGTCTAAATAAACATAGTGCCAAACTGTTGGAAATTAACTTGGTAAAGATGTCTTTATCCTTGAAAAAGGTACTTCTGATTTCTCAGATTGATATAAACTTTAGTTTGCATGCATGGAGAGGACTCTGGTTAAGGGCTGTTGGAAATTAACTTGGTAAAGATGTCTTTATCCTTCCAATTTTAATCTCCTCTGAAAAAGGTACTTCTGATTTCTCAGATTGATATGAACTTTAGTTTGCATGCATGGAGAGGACTCTGGTTAAGGGTGAAGATCGGGGGTCAGCCAGATCAGTATTTGAGTCTCAGTTCTGTGGCATCCTTGCTATGTGACCTTGGGCTAGCTACTTTACTTTTGTTTGCCTTAGTTTCCTCATCTGCAAAATAGGAATAAGAGTCTCCCCTTTAAGCAGCTGTTAGGATTCTATACTGCTTGTCTGGTACATAGTATATGCTCATTAAATAATTATTATTTGAGGATTACGGATGTGGATGGTTATTATAGAAAAACTTAATCTCATTTTTTAAATTTTTCTCAGAGGAAACACAAGAATAGAAGAGGCTTGTGAAATGTATACCAGAGCTGCAAATATGTTCAAGATGGCTAAAAATTGGAGTGGTATGTATACAGTTTTTGTTTGCTTGCTTTTGAGGAAGATACTTTTAAAATCATTTTGAAGGAGGAAATGACTGCTGTCCCCTTAGAGAATAAGATTGTAGGCCTCAAGCCAGGTGTCAGAACTGGGATTAAAGGACCTTGATTTAGTGAATGAAGTTGAAATCCTGACATAAAATTTAAACATAAGGACTGGGTCTGTTTTAGTTTCTATAAACCACTTCCTAAAGTAATAGTAATTTTTTTCTTTTTCTTTTCTTTCTTTCTTTCTTTTTTTTTTTTTTACTTTAGAGAGGGAGGAAGGGAGAGACAGAGAAACATCAATATGAGAGATACATAGACTGGTTGCCTTGACTGAGGATCAAACTGTAATTTTTGCTTCTTATTAATGTACTTAAATAAATCTATTGCCATAAAAATTGAAAGTTGTAGTAAAACTCAATAAAAACAAATCAGACAAATAAAAATGCCTACTTTTCTTTACCTACACATTAGCAGAGAACTTCTATTTCTTGCTCTGAGAACAACTCTGTGATAATTGATTGTGGTTCCACTGAGAAGTGTGACAATGGGAGCATTACTTATATACACCCCAACAGACTTCTTGTCATGTTTTAAAGTTATGCTTTCTACCTAGTGAAATTACACATAACAAAATCAACAGAATTATTATTTTCATTGGTCTGAGAGGGGATGTTTCTTTCTAACACTGACTTGAGAAACAAAGTTATCCCTATCCCTCGAAAAAGGGGCTTGTCATGGTAGGGTGTCTCTTTAGTGAAATGAAGATGGCCTTCAACCAGAACAAGGACATGGTCTCTGCACCCTGGCCTACAGGGGGTCCTTGCCCTCTACATGTTCATTTCCTCATTTCCTATTCCTTCCACCCTCAGCTCTATTAAGATACCAGAGGCCCAATGCACGAAATTCGTTCAAGGGGGCTCAGCCCTCGCAGCCGTAGCGGCTTCGTCCGGAAGGTCCTCCAGCTGTCTGGTCTAATTAGCATATTATGCTTTTATTATTATAGATTATTATAGATAATTGACACAAAACTTTGTGTAAGCTTAAGATTGGTTTACCCATTTGCTTTTAAAAATCATTTCAATGAAGAAAATGCTGTTGAACTAGAAGAATATGAAAGGTCTTTTTCTGGCTTTAAAATTTTTTTGTAGGTTTAGTTTTAGATAAAAAGGTCATGTTATATGTTTTCAAAATACACTTATGCCTGAATTATAAATTACTGCAAAAAAAATGGAGGAGAAAGGAATATTATCTCAGCATTCACATCTTTTGTTTTGTTCAGGGCCTGTAATAGTAGGGGAAGGAGTGGTCTTATCTAAAAAGACCACTTGTTTTATCTGGTGATCAAATGTTCTAACCTAAGGAAATTCCATTTCAGAGAGGCTATTAACATTAATATACCTAAAGAGGCTTTGTATTTATCCTCCCCCATCATCTCTTGCCTACTCTGATATCTCAGCTTCTGCATTTTTTTCTGGTCTGTTTTAATGAACCACCAAAGTAATTCCGTTCAAACGTGTCAGCTTATGTCATTTCAAATAAGAGCTAAAGTCCTGAACAGTGGCCTTCTAGGACTTACCTGATCTCTGATCCCTGACTCTTCCTGTCTCGTACCTCATCTCCTACCCACTCCCCTCATTCGCCGGGCTCCCTCCTCAAAGCCCTTTTGGCACTCTTTCTTCAAAATAGAGTGTAGCCGATTCTCTTTATCTCCTTCAAATATTGCCTTCTCAGTGAGGTCTTCCCTGGCCAACCCTTTTAAAGATAGCAATTCAGCCCTAACCGGTTTGGCTCAATGGATAGAGCGTCGGCCTGCGGATTGAAGGATCCCAGGTTCGATTTCGGCCAAGGGCATGTACCTTGGTTGCGGGCACATCCCCAGTAGGGGGTGTGCAGGAGGCAGCTGATCGATGTTTCTCTCTCATCGATGTTTCTAACTCTCTATCCCTCTCCCTTCCTCTCTGTAAAAAATCAGTAAAATATATTTTAAAAAAATATAGCAATTCACTATCTAGCAAAATTAATTTAAAAATGTTTACTAAGTTATATTGTGTATGTGTTTTTATTATGTACTGTCTCCTCACTAGAATGTAAACCATAGAAGTCCAGGATGTTTCATCTCTGCTATACCTGCAGGACCTGGACTGGTGCCTGCAGCATGGTAGACGCTCAGGAGACTCATGTAGTAAATGGCTAAATATTAGATTCTGTGAAATTATTTCTGTGTAGCAGTGGTGGTTATCATAACACCATTGCATCTCGAGTTTTAAAAGTTAGAAAGATTAAGCTAATTTGATTGATACTGAGCTTTTGAGAGATCATCCTGGCAGGTATTAGACCAGTTTTACAGGTGAAGAAATTTAGCTTGAGAAGTTGTATGACTTTAGTTTAATATCTGCTCCTTTAAATACACTTTTAAGTTTGGGAAAATTGAGTGGCATTTGTTAGCAGTGATTAGAATGAGTGCTCAGTGAAAAAGTAAGCCAGCAATTAGTTTTGTAAGAGCTAAATGATAAAAGCCAGCAATTAGTTTTGGAGCATGAAATGATAAAATCAAAACACTTAATATTGTCTGGGGAAATGGAGCCAGCCCTAGAGAGCCTGGAGTTGTGGTATTATACTCAGTGAGGAAAGGATGGACCGTCATTGGTTCTGGGACAGTCAGCATAGATAAACTGCAAAAAATGAAGTTACTGGTAGAAGAAGAAAGATGTAGGTTATAAAGGAAGTGATGACATTTAAACATACCAAACCACTGGTATTGGTTGTAGGGTAGATTTGCATGTAGTAATGATAATGACCAACACGTGTAACTGGAGCCAGTCTAAGCACTTGACTGGGAGGATCCACGTTAGTACACACTGTTCGGAGGCAGAGCCCATCAAAGCTTCCATTCAGCTGTTATGTTCCTGAACTGTCCCTCAGAAGTTAGCTGCTGCCCCAAGTACCTCAGGGCCTACCCCTACCCTTGCAGTGGCATTGGCCCCTCCTCTGGGAACCCCTCATGATTCATCAAGGAAGTGTTCTCTCTTCCATGCTGGTGGTTAAATATTTTCAAAACTTCCTGGGCACTCTTTAAATCTTGCCCAGAAATACAAGCAGTGGGTACTTAGGCATCTGATACTATTTGCTGTATGTTTTTGAATTGTGCTTTTTTTTTTTTTTAATACCAAAAGGTTTTGTGATATTCTTAATTGTGCTTTTCCTAGTGGAACAAATCCTTTCTTCTCCATCCCTGTTAGTACTAACTTTCCTATTCCAGAACTTAAGAAAAAACTTTGGATTCCACAATTGAAGGCCTAATTATCACTCTGTGAAACTTCCTTTGTCCATGAAGCCTTCATTAGCAATTTCTTCAACAATTACAACTAAGTCCAGGGGACACTGTAAGAGAGAAAGATGACGTCAGTGTTTTACCTTTCTTTAAGCATTAGTAGCTTCAGTCTGCCAGTCAGTGTTCAGTATGTGCTGTGGGATAAAATTGAGTGGCCTGGTCCTAGGCTGTCACTACTGAATGGAAGCTGATAGCCTAGGTGCAGTGGTCGGCAAACTGCGGCTGGTGAGCCACATGCGACTCTTTGGCCCCTTGAGTGTGGCTCTTCCTAAGCCTTAGGAGTACCCTAATTAAGTTAATAACAATGTACCTACCTGTATAGTTTAAGTTTAAAAAATTTGGCTCTCAAAAGAAATTTCAATCGTTGTACTGTTGATATTTGGCTCTGTTGACTAATGAGTTTGCCGACCACTGGCCTAGGGCCCACTTGGGAGGTCTTCTGTGGCTGAGAGAAGCTTCTATCACTGTTTGACTTGATTCTGGCTATTTTTATATATACCTAAGATGCATTGATTGCATTTCCATGTGCTTCTGACTGGAATAATTCTTTCAGTGGCATGGAACTTTCTAGCCCTTAGGGCATGGGCTTTTCTGTAGGGATACTTGTTCCTCTCTGTTTAATTGTAATAATTTATCTTCCTCAGCTGCAGGAAATGCATTTTGTCAGGCAGCCAAACTCCATATGCAGCTTCAGAGCAAACATGATTCTGCCACCAGCTTTGTGGATGCTGGGAATGCTTACAAAAAGGCAGACCCTCACGGTAAGACACACCTCTGTCTAGGACAGCGATTTTCAACCTGTGTGCCGTGGCATACTGGTGAACCACAGGAATTTTTATTAAACCATGCAATACCTGACTATTTAGATAGGGGCACTGAGCTCTTTTCCCTTAAATTGTCAAATTTTAAAAATGACAATAGCCAATGCAACAATAGCTGTCCGATGTGAATGAATCAATAGTATACCCTTTTTTTGGTCAGATCAGCAAAAAGTATACTGTATTTTTTTGTGTGCCACAGAATGAGATGAAAGGTTGAAAATCGCTGCTCTAGGATGGTAGGGCTGAAGTTGGTGACCTTTTTCACAGGTTAGCGCTGATAAAAATAAACTTTTGTACTTTGGAATAATAGAGATTTTGGTAACTTTTAAGAATTGTTGTTTAATCATTTGCAGCTTTAATGAAGAGAAGATATGTTAAATTTAACCTGGTGGTTTAGTTGCTTAACAGCATTTTCTTAAACTTCATTTATATTGCATTTTGGAGAACTTTTTGGAAATTAGCTTTAATTTTATCTAAGGCTTATTATGTCCTAATTTTATGAATATGTATATTGATTATTAGAAGAAACACCCATGTTTCCTCACTCTTAAATACTTAGCACGTTTTAAGATCCAGTTATTGGGAAATTAGAATATCTGATGTTGGTTTTTTTGTTATTGTTTGTTTTTTGAGAGAGAGAGAGAAACATCAATTTGCTGTTCCACTTATTTATATATTCATTGGTTGATTCTTATATGTGCCCTGATCGGCACATATGAAAAAAGAAATGGTAAAGTTATAATACATCAGTATTGTAGAATATGATGCAGTTACTACAGTCTTTGATTTCAGAGAATCTTTATTGACCTGGTCAATGTTTACATGGTAACTGAAGAACCACATGAGAATTGAGATCTCAAATTCATAATAAAGTCTGTGCACATTAAAATGCACATAAGAAAATACTGGAAACATGAGAGTGGGTTTGAGTGGGATCATAGGTAGCTTATTTTTCTCTTTATATTTTCCTGTAATTTTAAGGGAGCGACAGTGAATTCACATTTCTTACATAGTTTAGGAGGAAATTGCTTTTAACTTTTGTTCATTGACTTTCTGATTTTTTAGTTAGGCCTTTTTACTCTGCCACCTCTCTTCTAGAAGCAATAAATGTGGAGCTGTCAGACATGTGCCAGAATTATAAACACCACCATTTTGTGATGGTGTGTTGGTTCTGAACACAGCCTAACTTTTGGAAAAATAATATACTTTATCAACACTGTCACTTACTAGATTTTTTTTATTCCTTTTGTGTGTATGTTATTATACCAAAAGTTAGTATCTTTAACGTTGTACAAAATGTTGACTTAAGAGTTGTCTGAACAGGGATTTCAAAGTGCTTTGATTTTGGCTGCATGAAAAGTAGTCTATTGAAGTCATCTTTCTTATAGATAACTTTCTTCCAAAATTAATATACTGTATATACATGATGTCACTGAAAAATACAATTACATTTGTGTTTTAGCAGGTGTAAATGATGGGTGTTGATGACAGTCCCATTTGTTTGCTTTATAATGCAATCTCTCCCCTGGATGGAGTCCTCACTCGTAGATTAAGAGTAACCGAGCCAATACCACTCTAGCTCCAGCTCCCTAAGTTGTACTGCAGCTGCTACAGACAGAGCATGCTGAGGGGGCCTGGACTTGTGTATGATTCATGTTTGTTTCTCATTAACGAATATGCCCGCCCTCTGCCCCAAATGGGACCTCCTTAATGTTCTAGTAGCAGCTAGGAAAATAGGCTCACTTGAACCCTCTTTGACTGAATGGATTTTTCATTGTTTTTCTTAAATGCCTACGCTTCAGAGGCTATCAACTGCTTAAATGCAGCCATCGACATTTACACAGACATGGTAAGACATTACCTTGCTTGAGTGACTGTGGGGTGGACTCCTTGAAATGGCTTAGAGTTGTATTTTTTTTATCTTGTTCCTAAACTGATTGGCATTAAAATAGGTAAAACAGGAATGTAACTCTGTTTTTTGTTTTCCCCCAGGGAAGGTTTACAATCGCAGCCAAACACCACATTACTATTGCTGAGATTTATGAGACTGAACTTGTAGACATCGAGAAGGTAAGCAATGGGTCACATTCTCATAAACTTGATGTGAAGCAGGTAACTGACTCCAGGGACTCTTGCCTCTTCCATCAGAGTTGAATGGAGTAGCGTGACAGTCATGCATGGCTACACATGGAAGTTTTAGGGGCTTGGTGGCTAAGGAGTAGAGGAACTGTTTTCCTGGAGTAAGTATTGGAGATGAGAGCTAGTGAAGATTTACTTGCTGTGTCTGCTTATGTGATTCATGTTAGAATCTTCATCTCTTTTGCTGAGGCTTCTGTGGCCCTGGGAAGGAAGCTTAAGTACTGTGGGCATTTGCACATCTTTGTCTTCAGGCCTTGAAACCTGGGGAAGAAGGTAGCTGAACACCAACTTGGCCACATATCTGCTTCACTCAAGCCTGGCTTTTTAAGTGGTGGTTTAGACTAGTACAGGCATACCTTGGAGATATCATGGGTTTGGTTTCAAACCACTACTATGAAGTGAAAAGCGCAATAAAGTGAGTCACACATGTGAATTTCCAAGTGCATATGAAAGCTATGTGTACACTATACAGCACATCCTAGTATAGCATCGTTTGTTCAGCGTTGTTCCATTGTAACGATGAGATACTGTAGGAACCTAACTCTTGTGTATATTAATTGGCCTATGGTAAAATTGGTTACGTTATGTCATTTCACTTTAGGTGGTAGAACCTATCGACAACATTAAGTGAGGATTTACTGTAGCCTATTCAGTGTGCAGTAGCATTATGTCTATTAGAACAGTGTATATACATTAATTAATATATTGCTAAAAAACTTATCACCTGAGCATTCAGATGATAAGGTGAGTCCTAATCTGTTTGCTGGTTGGATTATTTTTTTATGTTGATGAATATGCAATATCAGCAAATGCAATAAAACAAGGTATGCCTCAGGTAGCAGAAGAAAAGAGGAAGAAGGAAACACCTTTTGAGAAAATACTGTTTTCCAAACATTGTCCTTAGTAGCATGCCATGAATGTTACCACATTTCAGCTTTATGGCTATGGAAAAACTAGGACTCACAGTGGTTCCACTGCCTATGCCCACTCAGACTGGAACGAGTGGAGCGTACGCAAAGCTGGCCCAGCACTGTCCTATCTCCTGCTGTCTTCTCAGTGAGGGGATCTCCTGCAGGGCTGGAGTGTACCCCGGTGAGAGGAAAACACATTGGCCACACTTCAGAGGCTGCCTCAACTCAGACTGGAGACAAATGTTTATGTAAAGCTGTCCTCCTGAGTACTGCGGATGACACAGGTGTGAATCAGAAAGAGAAATGTAGTGGAGATCATCACTCTCAGAATAATGAACACTAAACATACTGAAAGATTCCACTTGCCTCCTATCTCAGTGGTCGTGGCACTCCCCGTGCCTGCTGTGGCATTGGACAGTTGTCATTCTTCCTCTCCTTTGTTTTCTTTCTTGTCTTCTGGAACACGTCTCCCACCTGGTTCTCTGGCCACCTCACTGAGCACTCTCTTCCTGACTCCTTAGCTGGTTCCTTTTCTTCTTCTCACCCTGTAGTGTGACCCCAGAATTGGGTCATTGTCTTCTCTCCGTCTTGCTCCCTCAGTATGTCTGTCTGTACTCACTCAGGATCACAACTTTAAGTACCATCTGTATCCCAGGACTTGCAAATCTGTCTGCAGCCTAGACCTCTATCCGAGCTTTAAATTCCTATGTCCCCATGTCTGCCAACCTCTCTCCTGTAGTCTCAAGGCAAGCATGTGTAAAACTGAATTCTGACCTGGCCTTCCTTCCCACCTGATGTTCCCCCTCCACAGGCATACTTGCCTTTTCTCTTTCTCCACATCCAACCTGTGAGCAATTTCTGTGGACACTGTCCTCAAAATTCCTAAGTCTCAGCACTTCTCACTGTCTTTATCGGGGTGGCCTCAGTCTTGGGGAGATGAGCACTTGTGTATCATCTTGCCAGCTGAAGCCACTGCATCAACTCCTTGTCCACAGTGGTCAGAAGAGCACTCTGGAGGCAGAAGCCTGAAGTGCTCTGTGCCATCTCTGCTGCCAGGGCCTGGGTGTTGGGGTCCAGCCCCAGCAGGTCCAGGGGTTCCCAAAGATGTGGACAGAGTCGGTGAAGAAGGAATGACACAGAGAGCGTTCAGTTGATCAGCATAGCAAGGTTCTTTTTTTATTCTCCTGTTACATCTGTATTTATACCATTTGATTTTAATCCTATCCATTCTATTCCAAAGGTTAGGGCATTTGTTATCTCCATTCCAAGGTCACTACTCTATTATTCTGTTAAGCTACAAGGAAGTAACTGAAGGAGATTATCCTAAGTGATTGTTCGTAGTTAAAGTGATTAATTACCCACCTGGCACTTAGTTAAGGGGTTTTATTCCCTTCCTTAGTCCTGTTAATCCCTAACTCCAGGGAAAAATCCCCACCTGGGGAAACAACCTTTCTTGGAGAGGTGACCTTGGTTAAAACACATAGCGCTAAGAAGGGGAGCAAACATATTAAGAACAGTATGCCATATACCCCAGGTCCCTTGAAACATATGCTGTGCAGATGTTTCTTCCCTGCAGCGACTGTGTCAAGCAGCAAGGATGGACCGGCTTCCGGCACCTGGGCTCGGGCAACCACTTCACCACAGGGGCTTCCTTAAAATTGAGGGTGGATAAAATGACTTAAGGTGCACTCTTGTTTTCTTTCTTTATAAAAAAATTTGATGATTTGCCACGCAGCTTCTGAAACTTCCATTACTCACTACTCACAGTGTTCCTGCCATTCTGCGAGTTGGCCAGTAGGTGACATCTTTTTTCATTGTTGTGTTCTTTTTTAAAAAGCAATTTAAGAATATTACTCAGCACACACGGGGTTAGCTCATTGTGTTCTCTGATGTTTGGCCTGCTATGTTTAGAAACATTGCCTTCGTGTCTCTGGTGGGTCCATCAGATTTTGGTTGGTGCATGAAGTTTAAGTTTGAAAAAATCAGTTACACCAAGTACTTTATATCTGATTTCTAACAAATGAATTTCTTTCCTTTTAATACTAGCCTCTATATGTCATCTGATTCATTCACAGATTTTAGATAGTGAACGGTGAAGTTTCATAAACTCACATTACTTCTTTGACTTCACAAAGTAAAACATGGAACCAAATAATAAATAGGTCCTTTTTAAATGGTCCAGAGGAATTATGACTCATTTCTGTCTTAAGTCCCAGGAGGACATGATTTAGTACTGTTTGTTACTATTACATGTAGTGTGTCAGGTTCCTGTTAGGTCCTGTCTGGGGGTATGTGTTCTAAAAGAATCAATCCCATATTTAAAGCTATTTTACCTACAAAGTGGACCCTTACGCTTGAACCCTGGAAATTGCATTTGCCTTAATGACGATGGTGCAGTCCTAGAAAGCCTTGTGTTTCATTTCAGGATCCATGTATTCTGCAGCACTGTGCCACTTGCCCAGCTCCCCCAAGGAGTCTTGTGATCTCTGTGGCATGCTGCTTAAATCACAGGATAATCAGCTGGGTTGTTTCTGGATTTATTGCTATGTGTGCTGTTATTATTGGTTGCTTTGTTCTACTTTTTATGTTATTGTCTTTGGGACTATAACTTACAGTGGGCTGATTTCTAGTGTGAAAGGTTCTGTGTATGCTTCATAAGTTTCACTACTTGTTAAAACTCCAAACTAGGTGGAACATCAAAAATAGCATGTGGCCGACCTGTTTACTCTGAAACTTCTCTAAGCCAGTAGATAAGCTTTCCTTTCAACTTTAGTCTCTGTCAAAACTTGGGAAAACCATAATTTTTTATTATTGGTTTAATTAGTATTATTAAAAACTAAATTAAAAATTTTTCTTTTATTATAATTAACCTAGCTGAAGTTTACAGTTATAACATTTTGATGAACCAGTATCATTATTTAATACGTATTAGGCTAAACCAAATTGTTGACATTGGCCCTTTTTTGTTTTTTTAACCTCCAAAACAGTAGTTACATATGGTTCAACCCAACTCTATTCATTGAGTGCTGGGGTGCTGTAAGAACTGGGAAGAAAGTAGCTACATTTCCTCCTTAGGAAGAGGTTATATAACTGATACTCTTTACAAAAAGATTTGTTCATGTTTCTTATGTTACCCTATTTATTACAGTGCAAACTAGTGCTGAATACTTGAGAATGAGGACAATTCGAAGAAGATTATTTTTTATTAATCATAAATTCATTGAAAAACTTTCCTGGGCATTCCAAACTAATCAAGATATTGGCAGGGCCCAAGTCTGCTCTAGAGAAGAGAGGGAGTCCTGGGGAAAGGCATGGGTGTTCTCAAGAGAAAGAGTGAGCTTGCATATGTTTTGCCTTCTGAATTGTCATATGCTTGATTTCACTGACTCTATGCCCCACAGGACCAGAGCTTCGAGCTTTCTAGCCTGCGCTCTTTCTTTTCCACTTGACTGTTAATTCAGCACCACACATTTTAGAGTGAAAACAAGACCTTTAATCTAGATGACATGTAGGTTATTAGTGAGGATAATCTGTGCTGCTTTAGCAAACCTTAAATCTAAATTTAATAGGGCTTCACATATCTCAAAAATAACAATCCAGTGTAGCTATTCTGGGTTTGGCAGTGGTGGGGCATGGGATTTAAAGCCCATTCTGCCCTTTGTAATTAGTTAGGAACCAGGGTGACAGAAGTTCCGCCACCTTTAGCTCGTGGCTTCCATTGCCACTCTAGACTTGGCTATTGCCATTCTGGCTCATGGGAAGGGAAAAGGCCTGGAGAAGGATGCAGAGTCAGATGTATGGACCAAGCCTGG